TCCATCTTCTTTCATCTGAAATACTTTATATAAGTTAATTAAATCAATCATCTCCACTTAGGCATAAAGTAGCATTATTTTACTGGGGTCAGACAACAAACCAGAAGAAAATATTCAGCTGCTTCTTTTCCTCCTGCAATTGCTGCTACCAGCTATGGCATGGTTGGTCCTACAGCCATGGGGTGAGAACAGCCTGTGACTCCAGTACAGAAACACGTTAGCCCAGAGAAGCCCAATCCTATATGAAAGCCTGCACAGACAGGCACATTGCTTGAACAGGATTTTGTCTGGTTAGAAGGGACCTACACCTTGAAGCTGCTGCAGGAATATTGTGTCAGTCTGATAACACAGGAGGGCTCCACTTCAGTTTCCTCACCAAAGAGGAAGTGAAAGGACAGATCTGAAGGATGCCTATAGGTTTCTGACTGCAGCAGGAAAAGCAGCATTCTTCATGCAGTGTTTTACTTGCTGGGCTAATGATATCCTGCCTGGTCTGGAGACAGCATGAAATGCTATTGTCTGTATTTTGCTTCACAGTAACATCAGCCAGAATATAGTTATATCAATGCTATTTCCTATATACTTCCAGCATTTTATAGAATTGATGCTAAGGTGTTCAATAGTTTATCAGGCAAGACTTGCCTCTTTATTGTCCAAGTTCATTATCCAATACAGCCCTAAAGACAGTCTGTGAGTTGTGATTGCTGCAAACACAAAGGATCCAGTGACTACTGAGTGGAGAAGAAACAATCTTGTCATTATGGTTTTAAATTGTGAAATCGACTTGGAGAGTTTTGGGTATTTGTTTCTGTTTGCTAATTCCATCTGATTTTTTGAAGTGGTTTCAATTGCCTATTTTGCTGTTATTGTAGCTGTCACGTTTTGAGGGATATGTCTCTATGAAATACATCAAATAGCATTAACACTGTGCTAACTGTAATACAAATAATTCTCTCTCAAGGGACCTCATGCAGCAGTATTTCCATAGATACTGGAATTTTTAATGTTGCAGAAACTACGCAAAACAAACACGGGCTATGAGAATTCTATTTGGAATGAACTGGTTTGGAAAAGAAGAGTTAATTCAAAATGCAAAGAGATTTAGTAGTATATAATTAATACATCAAATCTATCTAGAGCATAGGCATTTCAGCCTGCATGTGCACAAAGGTTATCACTGGACAAACAAATCATTATTATTCTTTCCACTTAGATTCTGGTCTTGTGATCACTTCACATGATGAACTGGTTTAGTAGCTGGAAATCTCTCTCCAAATGGTGAGTTACTTCTGCTCTTTTCCACTCTTCCCTGCTTTCACTTTCAACCTATCCTTTGCCTTCCCTTCGCACGTCTGGTGCTGACTTTGAGTTTCTAATTTCCTAGCACCTGCCTCCAAGAAGCAGCAGCCATTGCATTTGTATGCTGAGATTTAAACCACCTGCTTTTGGAAATGACTGTCCAAAGAACAGATAGCAAATATGGGTGAGATTTTCAGCAGTGTTTATCACTGAGGGTTAGGAACAGGGTTAGGTCTACTCTGAGACCATCTCAACTTGAAAATCCTGCGTAGAAATTCACAGGGGTGAGGGCTTCAGCACCAGCTCTGCTGAGTGCTCACTTATTAGCTGTGTGTAGAGCAGAGGTACAGTATCAATAAGATATCACTACACTCACATACACTCGCAGGAATACAGAGGTGTGAGTTTTTATGCATACAAAATATATATCCTTCGCAAGGCCAGGCTGATTATTTAAACATTTTAAACAATACAGGAAAAGTCACAAGAAGCAGGCTAATGTGGAATGATTATTACATTTGTATTTAAAGCCAATGACACAAGACCATACATAGTGCAAAAAGAGGTGTATCAGAGACTAAGCCATGTGGAGAATTATGGAGTCTGCTCAGAGTAGCCAATTCTCAAAGGAAGAAAATGTAAATGTAAATTTTTCACACACAACCAATGTTTCAAGTTTTTGTTGCTCTTTTTTTGTGTAGTCTTCTATATTGTTGAACTACAGATTTAATTCATACAGTTTAATAAATTCATAAGCATTTTTATATGAAATGTCTGATATACCAGGACTTAAGAGTTGATGATCTACGTCTTTTTTAGTCTGATGTCCTCTCTGTCTGATTGTTCTTTGCATAAAAAATAGAACATTAAACATCAGTCATTAGCAACCTTGCCAATGTTTCTATATTTCAGACTGTTTTCTCAGTCAGAGGTACATGTTCATTAAATATTTTAGAACTATTTAGAGCTGTAGCCATAGAAGGGTAAAATTCTTCATGCAACAATGTTTGAACAAAAATATTTCCTCTAAATTCATCAGTTTACCTCTGAAAGTTTCCAAGCATTTTGAATTTAAAACTTATAAAGTATTTCTCAGTAAGCAGAACTTACTCTGCCTTTATAAAAGAGATTTAGGAAAGAAAATACAAGTGGAACTTAAAAGAAACAGATTATATCAGTATCAGATACAAAAAGCTCCACTTCTTAAGTCCTGGTCTACATACTAAGAAGTCTGGGCAATGTTTAAGCCTCTATTTTTATTAAAGTGAAGGAGTATAAAATGAACAGCTTGCTTGAATGTTAGGGGAATTTCCTGATGTAACCCATATGCCTCAATTCCAGTAACTGGAAAGCTAAAAAATGCCTGATATGGGAAAAATATCTTTCAGAATAAACAGAAGATAACACTATGTTAACATAGCACTGTATTTAGGGCAAGTCCTGAGCTGGTGAAAATAATAAAATGAAAATAATAAAAGTGATTTTGATGAAGGAAGGCTAATTTATCTTACCATGGGGAATAGGCTGTATCTGTAATACATTTAGAACTTGAGTTGTCCTCTTCATTTTATGAAGAAGCCTATTTCTCCTATGGGTTATGTCTCACATCTGTCTACTAAATTTCATACTGGCAAAAATGGTGTACAAGTGACAGGTTTTCCTACTTTAAAGTGAGCTTTGTTTTACTTTTTAGAGAGCAGACAGGTTGATCAGTGAAAACCATAATTTTTGGTAGTCCCAGAGGAAGACAAATGTAAAATCTTTAGGAATACTAAGATGAGATGTGAGATAAAAAAAATAAATAATAAACTATACATTAGATTTAATTTTAATTTTTATTTATTTTTTTCAGATTAAACATGAGTGCCCTAGCTTCTCTGGTGTTTTCTTCCTTGACCTTCCACCTTACTGTAAACATATGTATTTTTCATGCCATCATGGATGGGTGTTTCTGAGTATTTCTTTCTAATTCAGTACAGAGAACAAACACTTGGGGAACCTTTTATATATGATTTCTAATAATTGATTTGTGTTTATAAACTCTGGCATTCATTTCAGTATGCTACATGTAATGTCATTTTTTGTGCTGTTTTCCATGGAAAAATAGGCATCTGACTATGTGGAAATAATATATAGTAATGATAAAGGAGCTTTTCCTTTCCCACCGAGGAATGATTGCAGGAAGCAGGAGCATCAAAGATAATTTATATACTTTGTATAAGCTTTGTTATATGAAGTGTTTTAGATCATTTTTGATCATTTACCCTCTATTTGTAATGAATAATTCACTGTCAAACAGTGACAGCTGTTTAATTTTCTTCTACTCGCTTTTATTTTAAACAAATTGAAAGTCTTTTGTATTATATTCATAAGTTTCTTAGCGGAATGAAACAACCTTTTCCATAAGCATTCATGTTTGCTCATATTTTCTGTTATTGTCATAGAGATTTAAGGACTGCATACAAATGATATTATTTTCAATTTATTGACTTAATTTACTGTTACCTTTCAGTGTTTCTCCTGAGTTGTTGAGGATAAAGGTTTTAGTTGAACTATACTGTCATCTCGTGATGAACCAATGTTCCTGATTCCAATTCACATATGAAAGATTTCTTTTCAAAACAAAGAATCTGGATACCATAAAAGTGAATTTATGGTTTGATATGGCATGTCCTTGTTAGTGCTTTTTAACAGATATTAAAGGTGGCTTATTCCCCACAAACTCCAAAGAGGTGTCTACCTCTGAAAAACAGGATGATATCCAGAAACAAAGGCATCCAAATTGAACCTCATGAAAATGTTGCCCTTGAATTCTTCATTTCTCCTATAGACTTCCTGAGACCTTGTTATCTAGGTCAAACTGTTCCATTCCCTAGAAGAGCAAAAAAGCATTCCTTTGACCAAAGAGAACACATTTAGAAATAATAATAGCTTGAGCTTGCTTGCATCTCTGAAGAAACTTTGCTCTAGAGGAAATATTGAACTGGTCAATACAAATTTCTTCAAGCTCTCTGTGTATACACCTCCTTTCCCCAAATTAACTCTTATAAGAGAAATGTAAATGATGCTTTTATTTATTTATTTATTTATTTTTACATGAACGGTGCCCATCACAGTGCTCCAGATGGCGCCTGGGCTGTCACTGATGCGTACAAGGGGAAGGGCCATGGATGGGCAGCAAGTGCAGTGGGGACATTTGTTTTATGGCAGCTCCGCTTGGAAGCACACCTATCACAGACAAGAAACTCTCTGAGTTTCAATCATGGATGTAGTTTTTTATTCTGTGGCCCAAAGCAGAGCTTTATTTTTAAACACGGGGAACATCTGGAGCTCAACA